GAAAAATCTTCCTGGATGGAAGAGAAACGTCTTCAAACTCGGAAACAAATTCCAGTGGATTTTTTTTTTTAAACTTTTTTGGAGAAGATAGCTTTCAGAAAACATTTGCAAGATCTGTAAATAAATAAACTAGAATAAACATGCAGCACGTTTTAATCCTCTTTCTGTGTTGTGGACCTGTTTTGTCACCCCTCCAGGCCATTAGTTATCTTCTCTGTGTTTTTTTCATTTGAGGGGATTTAGGCTCAGGGCTCTTCAGTTTCACTGAGCTCTTAAAATGCTCCCTTGCAGCCGGTTACACTCCTGCTTTTTACGTTTTTATCTTAGTGATTACTTGGTGCAGACGGCTGCCTGGTTCCACGCTCTGCCTGCAGCTCAGAGTGGGATTCTGACAGTAAGATCATCTGAATTACAGCTCAGTATTTTATTTTAATGCTGTAGATCTTTCCCTACAGTTTTTATTTTTATTTCTTGTGTTATTCAAAGTCTAACACTGTGTCCAGAGTGTAGCTGTGGTGCAGCAGGCAGCTCCCCGTTTAAAGGAAGCCTTCCTGGACCCACCTGACGGAGCGATCGTCGCTGCCGGTCACAGCCAGAGGCTTTTTGGGATGAACATCCAGCGCCCAGAGTTCTCCCTCACTGTGACCCTGCATGATGAGCAGCGGCTTGTCGCGCTCTCGCACCATCACCTGAACACAACACAACTCACAGGTGGTGGAAAATACACACAACCTAATAAAACTAAGGACTTAATAGACATCAAACACCTTTAAAATTAGAGATTTTATGCATTTTATCAATTTGCCAGTTTAATGAAAGGAAGGTTTAGGAAATATGTGGAGATGTTAAACATCCAGGCTGCTCAACAGCTTAAATTATTGGATTTTACTTTTCTGAAACCAACACACTGGAAAAAATCTAAATCTAGATAAGTAATTTTTTCTTAAAAAAAGGTGCATTTGTTCTTGAATGTAGGAGGTAAGAGAGACATGTTGCCAATGGAACAAGAAAATATACATTTAAAATAAGAAAACACAATTACAATTACAATCCAAGTGCATATTATCGAATTATCTTATTTTAAATGTAAAAATACTAATTTAATTGGCAAATAATCTCATTTACGTACTCAAATGAAGGGAAACAGACTTAATCTAAGACATTTTCGCTCAATTATAGATCGTTTTTCCACTGTAGGAGGGAAATCCATTTAATTGAAGGACTTTTGAGCAATAATTGAAACACCAGCAGATATTTTATAATCTTTCCTCCAAACTCATCCTATTTATTTAAATCTGTTTAAATTAAATTGTGTTTTGTTTATTTTGCAGGTAGTTTTACTTCATCTTCTGTAGAATAAACAGGAACCCGATGAATTCAGTGCAAAAACGATCCAGAAATATGTAAAAATGTCTTAAAATAATTATATTTACCTTTAATTTGAGTAGGAAAATAAGATGATCTGCCAATGGAATGAGTATTTTTACTCTTAAAATAAGATAATGCAATTATTTTTTTTCTTATTTTAAATGTAAATAGTCTTGTTTCATTGGCAAAGAGATTCACTCTTCCCCTCAATTCAATAAAAAAACTCCACTTATTTTAAGAAAATGTGACTTATTTAGATTTACATGTTTCCAGTGTGACCAGTCGTCCTCCGCTGCTGGATGGTTTCAGTAAAAAACTGAAAATATTCCATGTTTTGAACAAATCAATCATCTGCAGGATCTGAAAGTTTTAAAAGNCAAAAAAGTACTCCAGAGTGTTGTTCAGCATGGGGGTGAGTAGAAAATGAAGGCTAATCATGTTTTGGGTGTACTATTCCTTTAACAGGAGTTTTTCCAATGTTAGTTTACCCGCTTTAGCTCGCTTTCTACTGGCTAAAAAAGCTAGTCTAACCCCTCGCTGGCAGCTTCATGGCCTCTGACCCCCTGCCGCTGCGTGTCTGGTGATGCCATCACATTGGGTTAATATTGATGACGTCACGAGTGTGACAGAAATCAGGAAAGTAAACAATGGAGACCAACATGGAAGGAAGCTAGGGCGTATTATTGAATGTAAACAGAGTCGTTTCTACTCATTAGATCAAAAGTGAGTGGCGCGGTGCGCTGACGTCCGTACATTGCGTTCACATTATCACGTTAGCGGGTCGATCCGGCTCTGGTGTTCCTACAGCATGCCAATCAGAGCAGATGCAATTTTAATGCGGGTCGAGTTGTTTGACCCGGTTAGACACGCATCAGTGAGCTGTTCCCATGGCAACTAAAAGCCCATTGTTCCCGGGTTAAAGGGGTTTTTTAGGGTTAGGTGGTTAGAAGGTTCTGTGGGGTTAACCCTAAACCTATCCCTAACCCAAACATATTTGTACACGTTGCATTTTCTCCTAAATTTTTATCTACTATATATAAATATAAATATATTTATTTTTTTCCCACATTCCTCCTTTAAAACATTGAATTTATAGCGACCTACTTCTAAACAAATTTTATCAGCATGGAGACATTAGATGCTAAATTTCATTTGATGCATTTATTGCTAAATGGAAACCAGCAACTAAATATATTGGATATCTAAAATATCTAATAGTTATATTGAATCCTGATATCTGTAATTGTTTGCATGATTACCATTTCAGATTTTTTTTTTTTTATAAAATGAACTTATTGTAGCTTTACGTGTTCATTGAATTAG